CGGCATTCTAGCTGGAACATTCAAATTACACCAATAACCTAATATATTTTTTTTTTTTATTAAATAGGGTTTTCTAACCCTAAGGGTCATGTGATATATATCGAAATCGAAACCGTGTCGTGAAAATTAATAATATATGTTTTCATACTACCACGCATTAAATAGTAACTGCTATGTGTAGGACATATAGGGAAAGTTTTCAAAGATTAGAAATGTTGAAAATACTATACGATAAGACAAAGAAAGAGATTTTACTTTAAGAAATTAATTCTTATGAAAAAAATAACTTAGTTTCTCGCATGAAAATGTCCTTGCATTGGAATATTTTAATTTAATCTATCGCGTATGAAACTAATCAACGAGATGATTAATAGATGTAATAGATAAATGTCATAATGAATAACATAATTTTTCAAATAAAATTAGGATTTATATGTGATAAGATTGAAGTTATATTATAATTACTAGAAAGATTTTGCCGATATTACTTTGCTAATACTATCTTTAATTGACATCAATAATATTATGTAGATAAACAATTCATTAATATAAGAATTTCTTGACTTTAATCAGTTCATTATTTATCATTAACAATCTAACTATCATCTATCATTAATCAATATCTTTGTAACATATTTGTAATACCTTGTAATTGTATAAGTATAATAATAAATATTAGAATAATAAGTATAGTTAGCGCGCTGTCGGTAAAGAAAAAATTTTTTCCGTCTTATAAAAATTTGGCTCAAATAAAAAAAAAAATTACTAACTTTTCTCACTTTGAAATTAAGTTGTAAAATTGATGAGATTGGAGATAATATTGATTCTTACTTTGAGAAAAACTAATAGTGCGTTATGCAGATCGCAAAGAATAAATTTGTTTCGCAAGTAGGGATGAGGCATGAGTCGGGGGAGGGTGGAACTGTGGGGCGGCAAATGGGAGTAGCGCAAGGTATAAATCGGACGTCACGACTAACAGGAGACATTCAGTCTCGGTGCGATTCTAAGCGTCACATCTATCTTAGAATTTTGATTATTAACATCATAGAAATGCAGGACAACCGATTTTTCATCTTCGTGGTCTTTCTGGCATTTTCTACATCTCTCAATCGTAAGTTAATATCGCTTTTAATTTTTTTAATTCATTGTAAAATGTATTCTTTCTTGCTCTTTAATCGTAAACGGCTGATTTCGCTAATCTGCTTTAACCTTAATCAAACCTAATCTACAGAAATTGGATTTGTTATATAAAAATTTTCAAGTCTTATTTGCTATTATCAAAAGTATTGAGAGGTATTTTCATATAATTTTTCAGTAAATTAATAATTAATTATTAATCGGTTATTTTCGTGTGTTCAATTATATATAATTAAAAACTAGAATGGTTTTATTAAATTAAAGGTCGGGTTATAATTAAACCATAAAATTAATTTATTTGTGTGCTCTGAACGTTATATATCTATCATAATTTAAATCGTAATTCAAAGTATACATAGAATCGTGACATTAAAGCATCAGATTATTCATTAAAAATAATCAATGTCATAGAAATTATTAATGAAATGAATGACAACATGAAAATTCAAATCTAATATTAAAAATTATATTTGTTATCCTCTTGCGACTACTACGTTAGTTAATTCATTCTTACTGAGGTCAAACAATAACTTGGATGCGACAGTTCTTAACGAGAACGAACTAAAAATGAAATGGGACAGGGAATTAAAGTGCAAAAAAGCAACAGTGAAAGAAAAAGTATTATACTGAATTCCCACAGGAAATCGTTGCGCGTCTTCTGTGTATTAACGAATAAAATTGTTAGAGATTATGATGTTCGACTTTTCATGGAAAAACGTCGACATTGTTGTTGTATTTATTTTGCAGTTGCCAGATGCTCGGTCGGCAAACACTACGAATCTACAAGAGGCAAGAAATTCGCATGAATTTCGCAAATTTTCATAAATTTTGTGTTTTATATAACTAATTTTTCATTATTTCATTCATGTTTTATAAGTATCATATAAATACATACACAAATAATCCAATTTCTTAATCAAAATGATAATTTTTGCTCCTTTACGTTTTGTTTAATTTTTAAATTCTTATGGCACTTGAGCGCGTTGCCGAATGCATATTTGATTTTTTTTTTTTAACTTTCACGAACGCTCAATTATATTTTTATTTAAATAAATTAATATAAATTTCTGCTTTTAAATTTTTAATAAAGCATGTAGATATTTATTTTTTAAATATTGTTGTATGTCATTTATGCATCCAAAAATTTTAAAATTTTTAATATATTTTTTTAAATGTAAAATTTTATAGTCAGTATAAATAATTATATTTATTATTAAATATTTTATAAGGCATAGATGTGTGTAATACATAAACACACAAAATATTTGACTTTATTTTTATACATTAACTATGAATCTATTTAACAAAATAATCATTACATATATAATCTGTCAAACATAATAATTTGTATATATAATTTGCATTTTTGATTAAAATATATAGCTTAAAAAAGAAATTATTATAAATAAAGACTAAAATTCTGCCTATTTATTACATTCCATAATAATAATTTGCATTACAAAGTTATCTTTTTATTTTTTACACATTATTGTATTTGTATTTGTATAATTATATTTAATTGAATGTTGTATATTAGACAAGCACTTGGATATCTAATCACAAGTTAATGCAACACAAAGCAATAACAAAATATTATTTCGCAACTATTTCAAAGAGAATATAGTATGAAATAATTTTTAAATGTGACATTCTAATAAATCATTGTCTCACTTCACGTTACAGAGGGCCAAAAATTGAAGATCAATGATAGACGATCTGCTGGATTGGTGCCGTATCCAAGAATCGGTCGAAATTCGGAAATAGCAGGTTTCCCTAGATCAGAACGTACTTTTGGAATAGTAAACACGCCCCGAGTCGGACGATCCGATGTGACAAATCTGGGCAATTTAAATCGTTTTCACGATTCACCAACTGACGCCGATATTGATTTCTATACTATACACGATACGATGGAGCGTGATATTCTCTCAGATCTTGATTACGAAGGTGTGGGAAGCTTTATAAAAATAATCTCGCTTGTCTTGTAAAACATATTAAATTTTAAAGCATCATAAGTATATAAGTATTTTTTAATAGCTAGAAATATATAAACAAACATGATGAAAATTTATAAGAATAATAACTTTAATAATATTATTAACGGAAAATGTTTTTGAGTAATTGGAAATTTGACAACACAGAGTTGTTGTAAAATATCTGTAATTTGTAAACGTTAGATAGAGCCCAGATGTTAGCGTGCAATAAATGTTTAATGCATTTAAGATCGATATGCGATGCTCTGTTGTTATAATTAAAGTAGCTTTTATCACATTGAATAAAATTTATTGAGGAGACACGAGCGTGAATGTTTCGTGTGCATTTGTGTGGAACAGTGCAACATTATGTGGCACGCAAATTTTAATCGATCTGGACAACCTCGGGATCTCGTTTGTTGTTTTTAAATAAATACAACACGAATAGAACTTGTATAGACATTTATCATGCGCTTTTATCACGTATGAGTATTCGTTTGTTAATTATATTCTTTTATATAGAATACGCGGATGCGGATAGACCTATAGCATTCAAGTATGCTGACAAAATTCAAAAAGATAATTCTTGGCTGATGCCCGATCATGTACACGGATACAAGGATCTTCGTTTGCCGCAAAAAATCGACTCCCGTCGATCGTATTACTCTATTTTACGAGGTACGAATGAAAAGTTATATCCTTTTTATTTCATCAGAAATTGTTAGATACTGGTTACCAAGAACATTAATTAATTAGAGATTGCGATTTATTAATGTAATTAAAATTTAAAATATTAACTCGAAATTTACAAAAATAGTCTATTCTTTTTTAAATTTTGTTAAAAGTAAAATAGTGAAAATATTGTGATTATTTGAATTCTTATATGATATTGAGAATGCATATTGTTCTGTGAAGAGTGCTAATGAAGAGTTGCTACATTTGCGACAGTGAACATCGACATCTTTAAATGTTGCAGAAGTATCGATTATGTTATTTTCGCTATATATTAAATATTCTCTCGGAATACTTGTCGCGAATGTTGAACAGATATCGACTGTCATCCACGACGTCATATTCATTCTTTGACATTATGTAAATCGCTTTCTTATGAAAAAAAAAAAAAACGTGTCGTATGAACGTCACTGCTTCATTAATCCTTAAATGCGAATAATTTAAGATAATCCACGTGCGACTTTCTCCCCAGTAATGTGATTGATCTCTTTCCAGGTTCTCGAAATACTCAAGGTCAAGGAGGATACACTCCAAGATTAGGTCGTGAGAATGAACATGATACTGCGAATTTTCTGTAACTTGTCCATCTTTAAACATACGTCTCGCGAAATTGTATGTTGATTCAAGACAAAGAAGAAATTTACTGTCAAAATCATCATCGAAAACATGATGTGTGGTGCTTTCGATCGTTTTCCCTATTTGAATAGGCGACTTACCCTATTCTTGCACTTTGTACGCAAGTTATGCAATACAATACATAATCTGCACTTAAATACTTCAGTTTATAACCTTATACATAATCCTCTTGTCTTTTATTATTATGAACTGGCATTTCGAGCTGATGAAGCAACCCGAAATTTCAAACTGATTTAATATCTTAATCTCTATCTTATCTAGATTCAAAATACTCGATTTAATTTGGATGTTTGTTTTTATATGAAAATAATGGAGAGTAGAAATAAAAGTTCAATTTACATCATGCCAAACTAAGTGGTGATCTGTTTTATATATATATATATTGAAAAACTAAATAAAGAAGATATATTCTGCTTCCTTATTAAATTAATTATTTGATTTGACACATAACGATATACAAATAGGCTTTGTCGCTAATAATAATTAAAATTTCATACAAGATTTTTAACAAATAATACAGAATAATACAGAAAACTGTGGCCAATTTGTAGGTAAAATCTTACAGGAAAAGAACAATCCTCGTAGCTTACGTTTTATTGTTAGCGTATAAATTGGATACAGAGAAACAATGCCATATTATTCCAATTTTCATCAATCAATCTCCGTTGATTTCTTCGGAAACATGCGATTTATATATCGATGAATATTACAATCGAATTCGACTGAACATAACATGATATTATCGTACATCATTTTCTCATAAAGTGTGCGCAACGAATGTAATAAGACAATACACAACAGTGACTCGATGTATGTAAAATTCAATGATTTTATTAATTGACAAAGTGTTTATAATGAATATTTTCGTGATTATAACGCATCAGCGTGCGCACTATTCACACCAGTCCAAGTCGCGAGTATACACAAATGTGTTTGGTGTAGTAACAAATATGTACACATGTAGAGCATACGTAACAAACTAGTGATACACTTTGGAGAATGGAAGGGAAGATAATGAGTTGCGTTTCGTTCACTCGCACTAGTTAAAGGTCCGTTTTGTTTTGAAGAAATGTCAAGTATGTACAAACCATCTCACCTCTGATTAATCTTTTAGCAGAAGAGACTAGAGGAGACTTACGTAAAATCAAAAAGGTTTCTCACACGCACACGTCGATCATTTACATGCACGCATTGTGGGCGCGAGCGGCCGCGGGCAGCTGGCCGAACAAGCGGACAAGGTAAACAGACAAGCATAGACAGACAGATATTCGATAGGTCAGACAATCGTGGCCGATATCAATCCCTCGATCGAATGCTCCGTACATTACTCTCGGTGACACGCTGGTGTCGATATGACAAGAAAACGATTTTCTCTCTGGGTCCTGTCTCCACGTCCGTCGAATATGCTGAATAACAAAGGGAAGAACCACGTTGATTTTTTTGAACTGTATCCACGTGAGATGTGTCTAATTGTGATTACGTTTTTCTCGTCGTTTCCCAAGGAATATCCGGCTGTTTATTCACCGATAACTATTTATTTATGCGATTTGCAAAGTGACCTCCAGAAATGGGTGCTTTCCATTTAATATTAAGCTTAACATTGTTAGTAATGAGTTGAAAGATGAAAAAGATAGACATACGTTACAAAAATAAAACATTTTTCTATCTTTCGTGATATAAACCTTTGTAAACAATTACAAAACGAGAATGAAAGCAAAGAATCTGAGAACGATAATGTTATCTTTGTTATTATCATCATGGCTATTGTTATTAACAATTTGCCAATAATTGCAGTAACAAATTATCTTTATTTATCTATTAAAAAAATTCTATTTATTAATTTATAAATTATATACAAAATAAATATCATGTGTAGAGTATAGTTTGAATACAATTGCAAGTAGAAATATATTAAAATAAAATTGATAGATAAATTAATTCACTTCTATTTATATTAATTAATTTATATTAATTATATCGTTATTACAAAAGTCAATTACTTTTTCTGGTTTTTAAATTATTCGAGACATTTTACTTCGTAATAAATATTATAATAATTTCCATTGTGCATGATATTGCACTTTCTATTTATTGTATTAAATTTAATTCAAATCGAAATAAATATCATTACAAATTATCGAAACAGAAAGCACTCATTGTACATCAACACTGATCATTTTTTGCAAATTGTTTACATAATTCTTCTCAATGTATAATAAAATCATATAGATATATGTTACATTCATATTCATTATATCTTTCTAAAAACAATACAAAAGTTAAAACAATACAGAAGATAATTTAAAAAATACTAAAAACGTTTCTATGAAACATATTTACATATTTTAAACAATACATATTTTAAACATTCAAATTATACGTATTTGATTATTGATCAAATCAATAATTAAGCTAAAGGTAATATAAAATTACATTACCTTTTATACAAATAGGTTTGTGCATTGTGAATCTATTCATCATATACGATATATAATACAATGCGACATTTTATAAAATTTTTATTTGCTGAAAGATTATGTAACTTATCGTTACAAACAAATAATATTTAAAAATTTTTATTTCATGTCAATCTAAAGTTGTGATCAAATATTTTGAGTTGAAATTGTAAAATTTTTCATGTCCACGATGACTCATGCATTAATGTTGGAATAAAAAAGTTCAACCAATGCACGATTCTAATTTGACATTACTGTCGCAATTGACATCATACTGTCACATCGCGACAGTTGTCGATACGCGATACGGAAAGATGATTCGACAAGTCCTTGAAAGTCCACCGAGGTGCGTATACGGATCATTTATTCAAAATAAGTGCATGCGTTCTCGAAAAATCGATCTGTGAGTGATTAACGACACGGTCAATATTACTGCGATCTAATTGTTATCATCAATGATAACAGCCGCCGACCGATAATTACGGACGCTCCGTAGTACAACTGGGGTACAAACGTTATTAGCGGAATATTATCGATCGCATGGCAATACGCGTGGAATCACATGGAAGAGGACCGCGCGTAAAAATTGTTTTAGAGGGAAACAAACTCGTGTGGCGGTTGAATGATCCGTGGCGGTGGCGGAGGTGATAGTCGCAAGTCCATATCCGTCAATGAAAACGCGGAACTGCCGTTTGCCGTAATGCGCGGTCCCATATTGTCGTAAGGTGAGCCGGCGGCGACATCGGCGGAGCGTAACGCTCGACGTGGTAGCGTGGCGAAACTAGAAACGCTGATCGGCGTCGCCGATGGCAAAGCCGCAGTCTTACTATTGGCTGACACGACGGCCGCGGCGCCGCTGACCGCGTGGACGGGGATGTCGAGGAGGTCCGGATAACAACGCTCCGATGATGTGTCCTGCGGCAGCGACACGGAGATGAAAATGTTGCCGAAAATTCCAGCCGGCAGCACACCGCTGGTAAATTCTGGTGGTGGGGGCGGAAATATGCTGGCAGCAGTCGCGACGGTACACGGAATCGTGCGAATGGCGTTCACCGAACTATCCGCAGGTCGTAGTCGCTCGACGGTGACCGCAGCTGCAGCCATAGGATCGCAAATGGAGCTGCGCTCGGCTAATTCGAGATCACCGGTGCTACACGCCTCGCCGAGGCTGCCATGACCGCTACCACGATCATTGCTGTTACCAGGCGTCGTGGTGGTAGTCACAGATAAATCTAACAGTTTTTTTCCTGATCGCCGAAGCTACCACTGCTCTGTAGCTTTACCTTCTCGCGTTTACCATGCCGTCGGCTTCCGCCGCATAAACAGAGAATCAGCAGTACAGCCGAAATGGAAGCACACGCGGCGGCCGCGCCGCCGCCAGCCAGACTCACCCAGAGTAACCAATTATCGCTTTGCGAGAGAGTCGGAGCCGTGTAGACGCGAGGTATCGCCACGCTGACCGTGTCTCGCGCGAGACCGGCAATGTTCTTAGCAAAACAAGCGTATTCGCCAGTGTCGCTGTCGCTGGCATTATAAACGGTCAAGTTGCTCCATCGATCCGCGACGGTTCTGGATGACACAGATTTACCATTGGAAGATATATCGACTTCGGACGTTGCATAAACGACGAGAGTTCCCATATAGGGTTCGGTTGATTTAGTAGCGTTGATCGGGCCGCCATTCAGCTGCCACCAAACTTCCGGTTCGGGATCGCCGCTCGCTCGACATGCTAAACTGAGATTGCCATTACTCTCTTCCTGTATACTGCTCGCTAGAACAAACACTTCCGGCTCGCAGGCGAATTCTATGGGTTTCACTTCTTCCCATCTACGGCCTTCCAGTCTCGGTGGACCCGAACAAATTTGTGGTACGGAATACAGCTTGCTGGGCACATCAGGGATAAGCCACGTGCGAAACTCTCGCAATCTGCAGTCACATTTCCATCGATTGCCATCCAATGTTAAAGTTTTCAATCGAGATAAACCGGAAATCACCGAGGCCTCCAGATATTCCAATTGATTAGAGTCCAGTTTTAGGAATTCCAAGCCGGTCAATCGAGCGAAAGCTTGTCCGTGTACCTCGGTCAAGGAACAACGCTGCAGCTCTAAATTCCGCAGATGTTGCAACACAGGAAACTGTAGATTACGCAAAATACCCAGCGGATTCCCACTGAGTATCAAAATGCGCAACCGCTCGTTCCCGAAAAACGTGTCTGGTTCCAAGGTTGTCACGTGATTGTCCGACAAATCGATTTCAATAAGTATTCTCATATCTTTGAAAGAATCCGCATGGATCTTATAGATGCCGGCGTTACGCAGAAAGACCCGCTGCAAATTTACTAAGCCAGCCAGTTTGAATATTTCCGCCTGCAGAGCGGGTATCTTGTTGCCGGACAGGTCGAGCACTTGCATATCCGGATCGAGGGAAGCTGGCAGTGACGTCAGACCGGCATCCGGACATAGAGCGGATTTCTTGCCAGAAGTCCATTTGCATCGGCACATCGCGGGACAGTCGGTCCAGTCTGGAAAGGCGGCCGCCCGTGATAGCAAGGCGAAACACCCTGTCAAAAGGAAGAGGGCGAGTAATATGCGCCCTCCTAGAGGGTGAGGCCTTGTCACTAACATAACACTGTCCTTTTATCGATGTCTACCCGATGTCTGCTCGTCCCCGATCCTCTTCTCGCCTCAAGGCGAGAACAGGCAGTTGGCTCCACCGTAACAGAGTGATGGCGACGATCACGATGATACTTCTCCTTTTCACTGATGAGCTGTGAAACAAAGGCCTCGCGTTAGCATATCGCTTTGTGATCGGTTGTTTGTATAGTCGATATTTTGCAATTGTCACAACATCCCATCGATGATTCGCGCTCGCATCGCGATAAATTTATCGTCGTTGGCTCACATTGCTTCAGACAAATTGAAACATAAAAAAGAGAGATGAGTACGATCTACTGTTATACCGGGTTAAAATAGGAATTTAATGTAGAAGAATAGAACATCAGCAATACAAAAGATGTCACATATGAAAGAAGAAATATTACATTGTTGTAATAACAAATAGCTCACGGCAGATTAGAGAAGAATCTTTTCGAGTTGGGAAAAAAATTAATACGAAACGATCCTTGATTTCTACATACAAAGATTATGTATGTATGAAAAGTTCGTGACTAATAATTAAACATGGATAACATGATGGAACGTGTGGAAGCGTTATGGAACATTGCAAATAGATCAAAAGAGAGAAAATAGAATCATAAATGATTAATTTCTGTCTTACTCGAGCGTCTTGTTTCTGGCCGTCTAAGCGTGCCGTCTGCGACACCGAATGAGACCGTCATGTTCGCGTGGATCTTTTCATCGTTTCTTTCAGGAATATTCATTTTGCAGAACAATTCTTCAGATTCTGTCGCACCAGCAGCATTGTCAGCGAATTCTTTTTTTTCTTCTCAATCAAGCTGATCTCAATTAACGCTATAAACGCACAGAGTTCAAACGCTAGCCAATTTCTTTTATAACTGCTGCCTCAGCTTAATCTAGAAAAGGATCATAAAACTTATATAAATTACTTATAATAATTCTTACTGTTTAATCGGCGGTTACTGGAACACGTACTTACTTATGCGCAAAGTATTACAATTTCGTTTGAATTCGTAATGACTGCCCGACGTTGTACAATATATACTTCACATAAGTAGAATCTAAATAAAAAAAGAGAGCGTATGACAAATTATCGATCAATATGAGTCTTAAATCCCGCTTCAATGCTCCTGTAATCGGCATATTAATCAACAGCAGTATATGCCTGTCTCGCCATATTAATTGCTGAATCCGCTAATGGTGCTACTAACAATTCCCTCTCCCTGTCCTCGTGTCGGCGTGCGACGTAATCCACACCAGGCGGCTTACTACACTTATCATAAATTAATCGCAAAGAAGCTTGATGGTATCACGATTAGCTCTTTCAACACGAGCTTGCGAGTTGCGGCGAGGAATAGGTCGGTGTCACACCTTCCTGGTTTTTGCAGGCGCAGAATATAACACGGCGGTCGCGGCGTAATTGAGTTGAGCGAAAGTTACTCCTCGAATTGACGACGGGCAGCAGCGGCACTTCCAGTTTACCAAAGTCTGCCTAGCTTGTAATCATCATCACAGTGCTGCGCCGCGAGAATTAGCAACATTGATCAGCGATGTCAAAGTTTGCTATTCAACTGGTATCTTTTCAATTACTCTTTCGTCTTCTATCTTTTTCTTTTCTCTTTCGATGTTGGTCGATCTTGGACTGGGCTGACTACGATATTGGTCGGCCATCAACCACAAGCTTTCATCAATTTATCTCGTATATACGTAAACTGATGATCTCGTGAGCTCGAATTAGTGCTGAATTATAATTCAGCGGGAAAAAGATTCCCGCGAATGCATTTAACCAATCGCGGGATCGCTTGCAGTCTCTCATCGACCTTAAAGACGAGCGTATACCGTTTCACGCTTTCGGAATTCCATCGACTCCATGTCGCGCAGTCGTTTTGCCTACATCTTTCCGCTCCTCGACCCAAGCAATTCCTCGCAAACTTTCGCCGACTGCGACTCTCACGATCACGTACGTAAGAGATTAAATTGAAACAAAACTAACTTTCGTGAATGCGAAATTGTTTTCAGCGTTGAAATTTTTCTGAGAATAACAAAAGAAAACGCTTGATTGTTTCTTTTTTTCTTCGAGACAAATTACGATGCGTTCCTCCTGTCGTTATATGCACTTCCGAGTTTCACCTGAGCTTCACCACGCGTTCGCTCTGTCCTGTGAATTCTACGTGTTCTCTCTCTCTCTCTCTCTCTCTCACAAGAAGACACCCCCTACCTGCACCTGCACGAGGTTGTCGATTAACATCGATGTCCTCCAATGTTTTTTTTTTCCTCCTCGCCGATCAATCAATCTCCATATCAACGGAATCTCGATGACGACGAGCATTCCCACAAATCGCTTTGGTCAAATTCGATCTTTGCCACACTGCCGAAGGACCGAGATTGCGCGGAAATTGTTCCATCATCGAAGTAACTCATTCCTCGCATCTGGCCGCGAGTGAACAGCCTTGAATCTGCTGTGGAGGGACACACACACACACTCCGGACGACGGATCGGATGACCACAAACGGCGCGTCGGCACCCAAATCCAGGCCGGGTGCTTTGACACCGCGTCACTCTCCTTTCGTCGTTCGACGATCGGCCGCGGAGAGCCGCAGATTTGCCGCAGCGGTCAACCGACACACAACGGATCTGTATCCGCGTACCTGTCTTTCTCTCGCGCACGCGGCGCCCTCTTCTCTGCGCGCTCTCTGTTCTCCGCCCCCGCGGATTAATCCTTTTCTCTCCACAAAAACCTTCCCACTTCGCGTTTTCTCTTTCTCTTTCCTTTTCTCTTTCTTAATCGTTTCTTTTCCCCTCTTGCTCCCTCGGTACACCCCACTGTGTCCCGTTCACCCTTTCCGGTTCCCTAGTCGCATAATCGTCGTCTGCGAGCAGCACCGTCGAATTCTGGATAACAATTCAATGATAATAATATATCTCCACTCGTACACTCAACTTTCTTTCCACTTGCTTCTTTAAACAGTTTCTTGTGAGTTCCCTTTCTGTTTTCTTTCTTTGGTAGACTTTGGTTTTTCCCGCGAGAAAAGGATTCACTTGAGAGGATTATGCCGCATATCCCAGCGAGGGTCGATCACAGCAAGGATACGAGGCGATAGAGGCGCAACAACGCGGAGTCCGCTAGAAGCTAATAATGGTCTGAGTGGTCTATGGGCGCAGCTACTTCGTTCAAGGGAGATCGATTTTCTCTTTGAACACTCGTGATGTTAAGGCTATACCGTTTGATCGTTGAGCTGGGATTAACCGGGTTCCGCCTGCGGATTCTGCGTTATCAACAAGACACACTCGCAATACTCACCAGTTCAAGTTTTTGCAGCAAACTTTGACTTTAATCTAATCTATCTCAGTAGCATCGCTACTTTGTGCGACTTTGTTTAGATAACAAAATCCGTAAGAGGAATAAGGAGAATCGATAACCGGACAGGACGGAAACTGGTTCTAATCGATGAGGGAACTCGATCATTTTCACAATTTGTTCTGCGCTTCCGAGCTTTTTATCACAAAACTGCCGGGATGTCACGATGGATAGTCGTAGTTTAGATGATAGATCTTGTATTGAGAATAAAAAGAATCGATTCCTTCACAAAAAAAAACGAGGGTTGCTAATAGGTGGAGAAAGAATCGTACGAAGCGGTCGGGAAATATCTCATTTTTTACGTTTTTTTAAGCTTTTATTACAAGAATATAGTATAAACTTTTGCTCGCAATAGCGCTCTCCGTTGCGCGTGAATTTTTATACATATAATTGTATCTCTCAAACCCTCGCGCGCACACAGGCCACGATAGTCATAGCTTTTTTCGATAGTTTACCGATATATATATATATGTATATATATATAATAATAGATCTTACGATTAGCTTATCTTGTCTAACTTGTGATCTATAGGTATATTTGGTTTTTTCTTCTGGTTTAATTGGAAACATACTTGGCAATTCACGTCTAATAAGTACAACGAAGCATTTTTTTTTTAAATCTTGATTTCAACGTGGGCATCGTCGGTCGTTTTCTTCGCGCATTCTAATTTGCCGTAATTTTTTTTGTGACCCGGCGTCACCCGCCTGTAATTGATATGTCAATTTTTTCTTACAGCGAAATTCCAGCTCATTCCGGGAAAAAGCGTAGTTACTGCGAATATCGACCTCATGGTAGTGCTAGGTATTATTTCCAGCTATTGGCTGAAAAATCAGACAATAAAATTAAATTTTAATCTAATCAGAGAAAATTATACTTTCATACGCATAAGTCATAATAATTTCATAAGATTACAATGACAATCTAATAAAGAGTTATCGCAAGTCCAAAATAAATGTGAGATAATTTTCAAAATTTTACAATTATCAGTATTTACAATTAAAATACGTTCGTTAATTATCAGAATCATTTTATCAGAATGTCAGAACTTCCGATTGATTTTTCTTACCTTTGTAATATATGTCCCTGTTCATCGTCGGACAATTTTTCGGACCCTAAACATATATGAAAATTAGCGTGGTTATTTTTGTAATGGAGAAAATACACTTTGAGAAATACACTGCTTTCAAAGTGTACCTGAACGTTAAAATCAATGTTAGTCCGAACAGGACGATGATGTAAAGGTTGCGGTGGTCTAAAGTTATTCGCAAGTGGCGCATTTGGTTGCTTTTCGTCTCCTTGCATCAATTGTCTCAGGGCATGTAGCTGCAAAAATTATAAAAATAAAAATTACAAAATGTAATTTTTATGTAACATCAAGTTTAATGCTTGATGTTATTTTTTTATAAGGTACTGGTTTATGTTATAAGGTAAATAAAATAATTACTAGATAATTTAGATTTAAAAGGCTAACATAATCTTTCAATTATTCATATAAAGAAGTATAAAATGTTAAAAAAGATTTAAATTTATGATCTTGAATGAGCTCAATCAGCATACAAATATTATGCTAAAATGAAAATCATCATCAATTTGAGTCAACTTTTGTTATTAAATAATGTGATATAAAGTTTAAATGATTTTATCGCCTCGTTGAATGCGATCGATATCATTAATAATTCCATTTACAATTCTGATGAGACAGCTAATTTAAATACGTGATCGATTATCATAAATATTATTATATGAGTATGAGGTTGCTTTATACATCAAAAAAACAAATATTTGCTACCTATTAAAGTTATCATAAGAAAATTATTATAAGATTTCACAATAAAACTTCAATCAAACTCAATTCTCAACTCAATTAATAAAGTCAGCTATCTTATTATGTTGAGAAAAACCAGATAGCTACTTAAATTATGAATTTTATTTGCTAATAAATATATTTCGCTAATAAATATATACATAAGAACCAAATTGCGTAAAGCATTACATTTTAAACATTTCCATTTTATTATCCCATAGAGAATTTATCTTTTAAATCGAGATGTTTGTTTTCTTTTTTATTTTATATTTAAAAGAAACAAACGAGTAGTAGATATAAGATAGATTTTTACGCGGATAAAAATGTAAAACTTGTTAAGCATGATTTATAATAGAATTCTCTTTAAAATACGAGCTCAGCAAGTATCTCATTTCTACCCTTATTTCGCAATATTTTTATTATACGAAGCTACTCGCAAAGCACGGTTGACGTTCCTTGATGGTTCAAAGATTCCGTTTCCTCCTCTTAATGATCAGAATCGTATAATTGAGTGGGGCCTCTGTACTTGACGCGCGTGAACGCTCGAGTGCAAACGCATGTGTATGCATTTCATCATAAAATGCGGCAGCGGCGATACTTGCCTGCTGCTTGGTAATGTATATAGGCTTGTTGAGGATGATCCATGTGGTGGTCTCGTGACACGCCGGCATCGTAGTGGAGCCGTCGTACGTCATGTAGTGCTTCGTGTCCGGCAGAAGTTCGCGCACCCCGAAACGTTTAATTTCCATGGCCTGCCCTGTACAATTCATATGATCGATAACGTCAACTTGATTCACGTATACGTATGCATACTTGGTGTACGCGTGCTACTCGATTGCTACGTGGATTGCATCGTGGTACACATAATTGATATATACATTTATTGTTACGTATCGCTAAAATTATCACGCATATTGCTCGATTATATTTACATACGTCACTCGCGTTCCCTTAAAGAATGACGATAACGATCGAGTTATCTTCTTCCTAGCAAGAAGCTGGCGACAATACCCTGCGCTAAGTTTTTAAAAGTTACAACATACACCACCACCGTCAAACTTTACAAGATAGATCAATCTTGCAACTTTTTCATTCAAATTTAATTCAAACGGTATTCTTATCTAGATATAAATTCATTAAAAAAATAAATATGTTTGCTATAAATTTCATCAATTTTCATCAATTTTTACAGTAATTATTAATTTGTGAGCAAAAATTCTTAATGCATCTTATCAAAATGTTATTTGGATTATGTACACCGCAGCACAGCATTGCTGTAAAAAGTGATTATTTTTTCCTCCGTTGTAGTTGTGAAGAAGAGAAAATAAAATATAGTATTAATTCATTCGATATGTTAATCATGACTAATATAGACACTCTCCGAGAATTTTTAAACTCGCACGACTAAAATTCATCAGCTAAACTCAAATTATTACTCATATTTTCGCCGAATTGATCGCTACTCTATCACATCGTATCGTTATCCTGAATTTGGATTTACGTTACGGAATTTCTCACCTCCATATTTGATTTTATCCAGCTGCTGCGTGAATGTTCTCAGCTCTGGATTTGAGAGATCGCCCACCTAGAAAAGGAGACCGAGAGAGTCTATGACGTCTTTCTTATTTCAATCTTTATTTGATGTGTGATAAATATCATTGACGTTGAGGGAAAGTAATTGGGCATGTACCTGTAAAAGAAGTGATACTGCCACGATCCCCTGCGCTCTATGCAGGGCATCCGAAAAGTTGTTGTACAGCTGCGAGTTGAAGCCAAATATCTGGAGCTATACGAGAACAAAAAGAATGCTTTGAACGCATGTTTAAGACTCAAGATTAAATATTTTTTTCTTCCTTTTTTAATAAAATCCGATCTCTATACCTAACCGCATCAACGAGAATTTAATTTAAAACATAATTGCCCACAAAGCTTCAAAGCGAAAAGTTGAAAAATTGAAAAGACCGCGAAGAAATGGTCGGAATGGTTGAAATATTTTGTTTTTACGTTTGCCTTTATCGTTTCTCATACCTCGGCAGGGAATGCATGCCCGTCGACGGTGTGCTCGCTGCCGATACGATCGTCCGCGCCGAAGTGCAGATGAATCTCGTGAAACTGATAACGATAACTGAGCGGACCACCGGAAATGTTGACGGGATGACGAGTATCATTCTCCACGGCGAACACAACGCTATGGCCAGTATTTGCCAATACACCGTTGATTCTGTGCTTGTCTAGATGAAGTGGTTGTAAATTTGGGTCGAAAAGCAGTTGAGTAGGCTCGAGATTAACCGGTGATTGTCTTCGACCTTTGTTACAGAGCCACCATTCTGGGTTAATAAGACCCCAGAAGGCAGGACCTTGGAATACGATTGAGAGATATTTTTACGAGCCACTAGACGTTAGTAGTGTTATTATAAGAAGGATCATAACGATAAGATCGATTGTAAAACGATCGATTCGAATTGCTTACCAGAAATACCATCGTACGTCCACCATTCTTCCCAACTAACGGGTGTCGATTCTGCAAATGTTTTGTTATTAACGAGCGATGTAATCTCAATGGAAAATCCGATAATTTAGTATAACTTTATGATGAAGACTGAATAAATGCAATTGTTTCTTGCCGAGAAAAGACAAAGGGCTTCTTGTAATAAATCGAATCACATTAGGTAAATATATCGGAATTGGTAATCGCGTCTAATAATATATATTATTATCCATTGGATAATTAATTATGATCCTGGAGTGCAAAATATTTATATGCTGAATTTCTATAGAAAATTACAACATAAATATATAAATTTGATGAAACTACATCGAAATTAACATACCTTGTCAAATAAATTGTGTTAAAATAAATTATTTTACTAACTAATTTAAAAAATTTATTTTTTTTAATTTATATAATACTGTTTAACAAAGAAAAAAAATTATTTTTTCGTATCATCGAAATCATAAGAGACCAATATAACATATAAATTTTGTATATTTTGCATATTTGGAAAATTATGTAAAAAAAATATAAATAATGTTCGCAATAGGTAGGTATGGATATGCAAACCTTTTATCAAAATGACAACAAATACTCCCCAGATACCCAGGAAGACGGAACTGAAAGGGGCCATTCCTAGCGCTGCACAGTCTTCGTCAATTGAACATCATTCGATTCGTTTCTACAAACATAGAAAAAAGAAGAACCGATTGATTCTCGGGCTGAGTTCGAAAGTGTTCGCATGTCGCGTATGCTCTCACGTGCCTCTCCGAGAGCTCGCGACTTTTGCCCTCTCGAATAATTTTAACAGCCTGAATCATCCACGAGAGACTCGCCGAGGCCGTTAACTTTCGAACGAGAGAAACTTGGCGATTCCACGATAACATAATTGATCTGTCACCTGCACCGCCCTTCCAGAAAAAGAAAATCCGCAAACTGCCGTCGTCGTCGAGTTTTAATCTAATCGCTTGGCGTCACGCGACGCGACGACTTCGACGCCGGCGAACATCAACATTGAATTTGCATCCCCGACACTCGTTCCGAGTAGAAGAGAGAGTTATCACGTTGCATGATAACGCTCTCAAGGAACTTTTAGTTCGCGCAAATTTTCACATATTATATAACGTGCCGTTACAATAAATGATCGAAACCAAATCAATCATTTGCCGTTTTTTTTTCGAAAAGAAAAAGCTCTCTCTCTCTCTCTCTCTCTCCTCCTCTTCTCTCTCCTTTTCCTTCCTTCATGCGGAATCCAAGTGCAACAAAAGAAGTGCAAGTGAGATGCAAGTCCGAGAAAATACAGGCAAAAAAGAAACAAAATCCGCAGTCATTGTTGTCCGGCGTCGCTTAAACGGGGGCGGGGTCCTCTCCTCACTCGATCCCCACTCTGGTCCACTTTGGAGTCCACTTCCACCCCCGGGTTCCTCCGCGGCACTCGAGCCGGTGTATTCTTAGGTCAAGGAAAAACTTGAGAGTGCGGCTTGCTTCGATCGATCGATCGGATCTCCACACGTCCAACGTAAAAAAGAAAAGGAAGAGTGCGGAGTCTCACCAGATAGAAATTGGGGGAGGAGGGGAAGGGCGAGGAGGAGAGAGAGGAAGGGGGGGAGGGAGAGAGAGAGAGAGAGAGAAAATGTACATACTCTCCATATGTTGTGAATTTCAAAGGGTGGTCACTCTTCATCGTTGCCGCGTCAGCCATGCGTTTTTTTTCTCTTCTTCTTCTCTCTTTGTCTGTCTGTCTTTCTTTCTCTCTTTCTCTCGCTTGAACTCCGATGTCGATGTCTTTTCAAAATAGATACTTTTATCGCGCATTGAAGCTTGCATCAAATATCTCGAGTTTTCGCGCTTATCGATCGATTTTACACATAGCCCTTCATCCTGCTTTAGTTGCCTATCAATCGATCCAAACGGACTTTCTCCCAAAACGTCAGAAGTTTCTTCACTAAATTTTCACGAAAATCTTATAAAAAACGCGGAAAACAAAATAAATACAATAAAAAAAAGTAACGATTATTCATTCAAATTATATTAATAAAACCTAAACCGGCGTTAGTAATAAATTGATTTTTTTCATAAATTAAACAAATAATATTCTATTACATTATCATCATATGCATAATATAAATAAAGAGAATTAAATTAATTTAAAAGGTTAAAGATAACTTTTGCGTCAATAAAATCAATTCTCTCTAATCACGATTGCATCGTTATTATTTAACACTTCTTTAAATCAGTGGCAAGTTGTTCAAATTTTTAAACTAAACTAAAATTAAACTGAAATACTTCCAAATTGACGAAGAAAAATTTAATACTATGTTTTAAATTTAGCTTATTTGTGTCAAATAAATAACTCAGTATTTAGAGAAACGTCAGCGACATTAAAAAAAATAAGTTATAGATATAATTTTGCTCTAATTTAAAACAGTCATATAATTGTCGTAATTGTCAATTGATATTAATGTTAAAATTAATAGAAAAGTAATTTAAGTTTTGATAAAAATGTTTAATACTTATTATTATTACTTTTATTATTTTAATTATTTTATTATTTTCTGCAATACATATCTAAAGGACATTGACAATTACATTTAGTATATCATATTAACGTATTTTTTTATTGCAGCTTTAAGCTTGAAATATCTTTGTTTAATCTAATAATTAATTATTTATTCTAAAGAATATTTTATGTGTTGTTTTATCGCTTAAAAATAAAATGTATGTATGGATTTGTACATGTGAGTGAGTGAGAGAATGTGTGTGTGTGTGTGTGTGTGTGTGTGTGTGTGTGTTTTTAGATTAAATATTGTTTAATGATTAAACATGATTGAGTGAATTTGTGGATTCCGTTGGAAAATATGCGTATAAAAATTGCGTATAAAAATTTTAGTCAATTTATTACATTACGAAAATGCAAACGTTCATCTCTAATTACTTCGTTCTAAGTCAGTGGCCAAATTCAAATTCGTATCATCGTCAATCGTGTCAAACGATATGCTATCGTCGATGAGCTTCTCCAATATTGTAAGGAACAAATATACATATCTTGTTTACACAGAAGTAAAATATGAATTATTGTCTTCCTTTTCTTACCGCAATCGATCGTCTTCTTCATATCATTCGCTTTTATTCATCTTTTGCTCTTTCGATCTTTTTCTTCGATTGTCTGCTTCTGGTAAATCACGATTCTTTTATACTTTAATCGGTTTACACTTATTTTCATACATCGCGTTTCCTTCACATATCTGTTTCCCGCTTCCTCATATTCCGTTTCTATTTCATAATCGCTTCTCCTTACGCTTCAATCGTTTGCCACCTCATACCATAGATTGTTTTCCTTCTTATATCGTCTGCGACGTCGCGCACAGTCACGCGACAAAGACACATCTTGACATTATCCTGTTAAAAGTAACTAAACCAATGCCGAGTCTACCGTTTGATACGGAGGCGAACTATGGCGCTACTGATTGAGGATGATTGAGAATTAGAGAGAGACAGAGAAGGAAGAGAGGGCGAGAGGAGGAAGAGATAAAGGAGAAGAAAAGAGAAGAGAAAAAAGAGGAAGGAAGGAAAAGG